TTTGAATCTAACACTCCTGAAATGTAGGGCCTTCCCAGAATCCAGCTATGTCTTTCAAATATATACCACTGTCACAGGCATCAGCCTCCTGGCAGATGCTTAAGTGAACCCATCCTTCCTTTCTTGCCTTCTTCTCCCATATTTTCAGCTTTGCTGCTTCTTTCATTAATTCCTTGTTGCATGCTCTGAGCATACCAATTTTCCCAAGGCTAGGAAAGAGCAGAGCTTTCCTGTGGTATTATTCCTTCATCTTTTATTGTTGTGCAAGTGGAGTCTGCCTTTGTTATATGTCAATGTAAGTGTGAGGAAATAGCAGCAAAATAAACAAATTGATTTCATGAAGGAGGAAAAAAATGTGTCTGAAAAAAAAGAGATTTTTTCCCTGTCTCCCCCTTTATGCTCTTTTTGAGAATACATTTCCAAGTAAAGTTTTGCAGATAGAAACTAGTTTTCCAAGTTGTGTCCTTTTTAGCACAACCTCTCTCTTTCTTTCTTTTTTTTCATCTGCACTCCCTTCCTGAAATGGGCCCATATTCACAGAAAAAAAGGGAAAAACAAACAAAAAATCAAGCACTGATGCCAAACCAACAGTAAGGCTACAGAAATCACACTTAGAGGAACTATGCAGTAATAGATGCTAGAGAAATCACACTTAGAGAAACTATGCAGTAATAGATGCAAATAGATCAATAGTTGCATGGAAGGTTCTGCTTTTCCATCAGTGCTGATTCCCACAGCAAACATGGTTCAGGTCTATATGACAGTTTTTAAGCTGACAGCTTGTAATGCAAATTACCTCTCCTCCAGCCTGGAGATGTTTCTGGCCTTGAGTGTAAAGAGTAACTCAGGTCTGAATTTCAATAGGACTTGCAGTCGTGATACTTGTGTGTGTGACTTTCAGCACTTCATCAGATTGTTCTGCATAAGTCACCTTGTTTCTATAGAAAGTGAGGCAGTATGAACATGAGGAATGAAGTTTAAATATTTTTGACATATCTAAGTGATACAGTGGTATATGTAGTAACATCAGTTCAATTATTCAACTAATGATAGAGAAATAAAACAAAATCCAAACAACCTTGCAGGTTGCTGTGACAATTTGACTTTCTGCTATAATAGGTCCACCTCCAAAATGGCAAAAAGTACATTTATTACTTAGCAGTGTTTGCATCATGAAAATTGAAGTTTGCAGTACCCTTTGGAAATTTATATATTTAAGCCTTTGAGTAAAATAAAGAAGGTACAAATTGCTTTTATTAACTGGAATGTCTATAAAATATGTTTAGTGAGAGTAAACAGGAAATATTACATGCATACTTCCCATTGAGCTTATAAATAAATAACTTTTCTGAAATTTCTTCTTGACTTGATTTACAAGTGCCTGTAGTGCTAGCCTTGCAAAAATCCAAAAGGCCAAGAGGCTTTTGAAAATTCTTGGACACAGTAGCGTATATGTGTAAATCGCACGGAAGATACGAAGAGCTATTAAGCAACAGTAGGACCAAAGATGAGGAGAATGTAAAGACAGTCAAGTAAGTTCATGGGCGGAAAAAAAAGATGCCAATACACCTTGTGGCTGAGAAACTTCTAATCCACAGATTGCCAGAGCTGGGAAGGCTGTAAGACCCACGTGTGATGTTTGCCTGCCTTCCGTGCCGTTTCTGGTGACTGTAGGGTAGGCAATGAGCCCTCTTGGAGCTTTGCCCCAACAGACTTGATAGGGATGTTCTTACATAACCTAAAGCAACCTGACATTGAAAATACACTTGATACCAATTTGTTCAGTGTGGATGGCTGAATGCCATGGGGTCATGAATTTCAGGTAATTTACTGCCATTCGTCATGCTAGGGAAGTGAGAGGAAACAGACATTTCTATAGATAATAAACTTTCAGTTGTGTTGCGGGCTAAACTGTACAGGATGCATTTTCTTTTGGAAGTACCAAAGTCTCCAGAGCTGATATTTTCTAAAATGAAGCACTTAAGAGGGCTAGAAGCAATTAGGCTTTATGCAAGAAATACTGCTTATCACTGAGATAAGAACCATCATGAATGGACATGCTCCATTCTGTAAGTTAAATGAATCTGAGGTGTGATACACTGTACAAATAGATGTGTCATTATTCTGTAAGAAGTGTTATATCCCTTAAATGAATTGAAAAGTGGAATTACCTGGCACTGGATCAGAACATAACACCAGTTTTTTAACAGGTTGAACAACTCTCACTGAATCGCTTGCACTTATCCCTCTCCTTTGATGTAAGTAACCCAAGTACTGAAAGAGCAGATGTCAGTAATGAGGATTAAGGGGACTGTTATTGAAAGGAGACGATAGTCTCCTGAAGTTGGTTGCTTATTGTTTAAAGAAAATGAGTAATACTGTATGCATTCTCAAACTGAGATTGCCTCTTTTTAGTCAAAGAGTTTTGGAAAAATATTGCAGGATGAGGATTCCTGACCACATGCGTCTCACACCAGTATAAATATCTACACCTGGATCACATGACAGCAAGTTTCTCAGATTACAGAGAATGTAATGGATTTTGAGTGGGGTGGCCAGAGGGTGGGGGAAAAAAAAAAAAAAAAGGTGAAGGAAACAGGAAGAAATTTAATTCAAGTTTAATTAAAGGATAATTGCCACATATTTTTTTTTGCAATTAATTTTGAAAAAAAAAAGTTCATTTTGGACCAACCTGAAATAATGTTTTAAAACTTTTTTTTTTTTCTTTCTGCATCCTGGTTATTTAAAAGATTTTCCCTGCAGTTATTATGGTAAAATCCTAATAAAAGAAAAAAATAGGCACAATGAAGTTAGAAGTTATCAATTTTTAAAATGTTCACACGAAATGTTTCAAGGCTGAACTATTTAATTTTGAACATGTCAAATGAAACAGGTTGACATTTACAAGATTCTCTCCTCAAACCTCTCCTCTCTAACTGTGAGTGTATGGTTGAAGATACGTTCATCTCTGAAGCTATTTTTTTGCAGGAGCATCTCTCTTGCAGGTATATTCTTTCTTACTCTATGCACAATCCAACGTCTCAAGAGCCTAATTTTTTGCTGCACTCTGTGTGATCTTAATGAGGGAATATTTTAGTATTCACCTGCAGATTACCAAGAAAAGAGGCTAAACCTGCTAATTAACAGTTAGGCAGAGAAAATCTACAGTTTAAGCTGATTCAGGGGGTTGGACAGGATGGTATCTTCATTTCCTCCCTAGCGCAGGGCAAGACCACCCTCGCAGATCCAAATAGGACCCTGAGGCTGTTGTGATGCTGGTAGCACTTTCCGGGGAAGTGGTTTCTCTGCTGCTGCCAGCTGGCAAAAGGGCAGATCCACTGTGATGGCAGGTGACTGTTTGATGCCTCTTCCCTTGTGAACTCAGGTCATGCATCAGAGCCTCAAAAATGAAGCCAATTTGAGAAGGTTTCTAAGGTAGAAAGTAGAGCTTTCATCTAGATGTAAACTTTGTTCAGTTAGAAATGTCATCCGAGATCTCAGTCAATTAGGAGGCAGGATGGGATTTCAGAGGATGCTGAGCTGTAGAGCCGAGGCTCACGGACCCTGCAAAGACTTGATTCTTTTACTGTAGCTCTGCCTCATCTGCCATAATCTGCCAGGCAAAAAAAAAAAAAAAGAATTAACATTTAAATCAATCTCAGATCATTACAGCAGATATGGCAGTAAAATTTGCTTGGCAACAAGAATTCAATAGCAGACTTGGTTGCTTTTAGTTATTATTTAGTTAGCTTTTTTATGGGTAACTTCTCTCTTTATGTTGATGGAGAATATGTGAATGTGGCATTTTGAAGTAACACACTGTCATTTTCTAAACATTATAAAAGAAGGATACGAGAATATTTTTCATGGTGTGTTGGGAAGAGGGCTAAATGAGGCCGGGCATACACTGTAACACTGACCAAGTGGGGCAAAACCTT